GCAGTCTGAAGAAGAACTTAGCAAACTGTGGGTTCATCTTCACTGTAGAAATGATGCAGTTTGACAACACTTGAATTGCTATGGCTCCATCCTATAGAATCCTGGGATTTGTACTTTTGTGAGGCACCAGTGCTCTTTGGCAGAGAACGCTAAAGACCATGTAAAGCTACAAATCCTAGGATTCCACAGGATGGAACTTCAGCACTTAAAGTGATATCAAACTACACTTTTTCTACAATGTAGATGCAGTATGCTACCGTTTACAGATCTACCTGTAGGGCTGATGTAGCCAAAGGTTGCAGACAAATGGCCTATGAGTTGGGTCTTGCCCTGTTAGACTGCACCCCAATGTGCCTTTAGGGGATTCCCGTTAGCCGTACCTCCTAAAGGAGCAGCAAGGCCCTGGATTTTTTTATTGTATTTTATTTTTAGCAATAGAACAGCATTTACATTTCTATACCATTGAACTCAGTACTCTCTAAGCGGTTTACAATGTGTAAGGCAATTGCCCCCAACAAGCTGGGTACTCATTTTACAGACCTACAAAAAGATGGAAGGCTGAATCAACCTTGGAGCCCTGGGATCGAACTCACACCCTTGTGGCTGCAGCATCAACATTTAACCACTGCAACACCAGTATTGTATTTTAATATTGTATATTATTGAATAGTTATAAATGTTTTATTTTCTAACTGTTCGTAAAGCGCCATGTGCATGACTAGAACTATATAAATAAACAACAACAACGTTTCCCGCCCCCATGCTCCATTGCCACAAAAATTGTGATAACTTATCAACAGAGAAAGGTGTGCTTTACAGTTACCACAAGAAAACCTTGAAATGAGGGCAAGGTGTAGGTGAGAAGTTAAGGCCTTTGCAGACTGCCAGAAATAGTGCAAATTGAGTCCACTTTAACTGCCCTGACTCAGTGCTAGGAAATCATGGGAACTGTAGTTTATTGTGGAACCAGAGCTCTCTGACAGAGAAGGTTCAATGTCTCAGAAAAAAATACAATTCCCATGATTCCCTAGCACTGAGCCAGGGCAATTAAAGTGGACTCAATTTGCACTATTTCTAGTAGTCTGCAAAGGCCCTTAGATGCTTCCAGATTGCTGGAGGAAAATTGGCAGGGGCTAAAGTTATATACCTGGAGTGGACCAGAGAGTCCGGCTTGCTGCGAACAGAAAGAGTATAGGAGGAAGACGAAGTGGAGGAATAGAGGAAGAATATGAAGAGGGGTTGATCTCAAGTGGCAAAATGTCTTCAGACAGCCCTCCTTCCAAGCCAATCTGGAATAACTAATGAAGTCCAGCTGAAAGGGAGTTAAAGGTAAGAGTGGGCAAAATGTGGCCCCCTGTGCCCCCCCCATTAACTTTTAACTTTGGAAAGCCTGACATGCACTTTAGGGCCATGATGAGAATCCTTCACTGACCATTGCTGTGGTATGCCTTCAAATCTCTAAATTCACATGTATATACCTACTAATCAGTATGTGAACATTTTATGCAAATATATTTACTGTTTAGGCTTTTGAGGGGAAGGAATAGGAGTGGGAACCCTACCAAGAAGCCACAGGATGTCTAACCATTTCTTCTTTTTCCATTATGAAAATAATGTTTTCAAATCCTCACTGTCTCCATAATCATATGCCAGGAGAAAGGCAGGATATATATTAATTAAATACGTACATGTAAATAAATAAATCCACTCATGCTCAAGACTGAAGGCCTGTCCACATTACAGAACTATAGCACTATGGTTTCACTTTAATTGCTATGGTTCCATCCTATGGAATCCTGGGATTTGCATTTTAGGGATTTTAGAATTCTCAGTGGTCCTCAAGCTACAAAACCCAGGATTCCATAGGCTGTAGCCATGGCAATAGGTATTATACTGCTATAATTGTTTTCCATGGAAAGGCCCTGGATTTTGAAGAATCCAAGCACTTTTTGAAACATTTCATATCAAAGCTGCCACTGTTACAATAGTTGCAAATCTGTTTAAAACCTACCAAAAGTGTGGTGTTTGAAGCCTATCAAAAGTGGAGTATGGTGGAGTCTCCTTCTTTGGAGGTCTTTCAACAGAGGCTGGATGGCC